AACTGGTCTAAGAAAGGATGAAAGACCCGATTCATAAGGTCCATAAAAACTGTTGGGGCATTGCTGAGTCCGAACGGCATAACTACGAACTCATAGTGGCCATAACGGGTACGAAAGGCAGTCTTAGAAATATCCAACTCCCGGATCTTCAGCTGATGATAGCAGAACGCAAGTCAATCTTTGAAAAGGCGCGGGCTCCCCTCAGCTGGTCGAAGAGGTCCTCAATACGAGGAAGGGGGTAATTGTTCTTGACTGGTATTCAGCTCCCGATAGCCAATACACATGCGCATCGATCCATCTTACTTATTCACGAATAGGGCGGGCGCTTCCCACGGCGAAACACTCAGCCGAATAAAACCGAGCTTGAGCAACTCCTGGATCTGGGCCTTGAGCTCTTGAAGCTCCTTCGACGCCATATGATAAGGGGCTTTAGAAACGGGACTGACTCTGGGTACCAAGTCAATTGTGAACTTGACCTGGCGATCGGGTGGTCCTCCGGGCAGCTCATCGGGAAAAACATAAAGGTATTCACAAACAATAGAAACTCGCTCTAGAGTCCGCTCGTAATCATCCTCGGACACCATAGAAACAAGATAGCCTTGACAGCTACCCTTGGAAAGGCTCTTCCTAGCTTGCATAGAGGAGATGACTCGAGCCACAGTCCTCGACTTCAACCCCTAAAACACGACAGGCTTATCAGAATTAGAAAAGAGGATGACTTCGCGCTCCTGGCACCGGAAGTCGGCTCGATATCGGGTGAGCCAGTCCATGCCCAAGATCACGTCGAAGTGTCGCATTCCAATGACATAGGCGTCAACAACCAGAACTCGTCCGCCGATAGAAACAGGAAGATCACGAACCAAGGAATCAGAGACAATAACTTTTCCCGATGCTAGACTAACCTCGAAAGGATCAACTTTGCAAACATTCATCACAGATATGGCCTCAAGGCATCGGGAAGATATAAACAAGTGGGTTGCCCCAGTATCACATAAAGCATAAACAGGGACGTTGGATATGGAAAGCATTCCGGACATGGTACCTGTGTTGTTGGCTGACTCGTCATGGGAAACGGTGTAGACGCGGGCCTGGCTTTCTGTCCTCTACTGGTGAGGTGGGAGCTGTCTAGGCTGTTGCTGCTGGTTCGGCCTCCGGGGTTCTGGGCAGGCACGAGAGAAATGACCCTTCCTCTGGAGTTGTAGCAAGTCTCGTCGGTTTCCCGACACGCATTGGTTTCATGGACTAGCCCGCATGCTCTACACGACGGGATTCCAGCAGGAATTTGGCGGAGGGGCTGGGCAAACTGCGCAGCAGACTGCTGCTGAGGCTAGTGCGGACAATGGTTAGGGTGATTGCCCTTCTTGTGGTACGGATGCTCATCCTTCCTCTTGCCAGAGCTAGAGGATGGGGAAGCTCATACGGAACAGAATACGGATAAGGCGCCTGAGAAATGAGTAGCGGCTGATAAGACGGTGAGAGATAGGCTGGCGGTGCAGTCTGAGCAGACTGCGAAGCATGATAATAGGAGGGAACTGGAGCTATCGGGATCAGACAACTCTCCACTCCCTGAGCTCGACTCACCGTGTCGGGAAAGGACATCAGACCGTGACTCCCAACTAGCTCACGAATTCTCTGATTCAGCCGTTTCAGGAACTTCCAGGCCTTCTTCTCTTCGGTACTCACTGTGTCGCCGGCAAAGACACACATTCTGGTGAACCAGCAGATGTACTCGTCCACGCTGGCATCGTCCTGCTGCAAATGGTAGAACTCATGCTCCATCCGATTACAAAAACTCTGGGGAAGGAACTTGCCACGAACCATCGCCTTCATCTGCTCCCAGGTGAGGGCATTGAGCTCGGCCTCTAGCCTCCGAGCCCAGTGGTCAATCCACCACTCGGAAGCATCCGCCTTCATCTAGAAAGCAGCGAGGGAAACACGTTGTCTTTCCGGGAGAGGGAGCACAACGAAGATCTTGTCTAACTCCTTCATCCATTCCAGCACAGCTGTGGGGGACTTAATCCCCGAGAAGGTTGGCGCATGCATGTTCTGGAACTGAACTATGAGTCTGGTAAAGTCCATGGCCGGAGGGGCCTGGTGCTGATGAGGTGGCGGAGAAGGAGACTGGGATGGCTGCCTGTTGCGGTTGTTGCGGGTATTCGTAGCTCTACATTGAATAGGCCGAATAAAATTTAGCACCTTAACATAAATACGGAAGTCTAGAGTTCGCCAGAAAACACTAGAGTTCAAATCTAAATCAAAGGTGGATAGATTCCTTAAGCCACAAATATAGTAATCACACGAATAAACTCATACCTTGAGCTGGCGCGGCGAGACGAAGCGAGTGATCGAAATGGTCATTAGTAACCAAACAAAAGAGACAGTCTCAAAAACACAGACTGGCTCTGATACCAAACTGTAACGCCCCATTTTATTTTAAAGAATTTACCAAATAAATTTACAAAAATAAGAGTTTTTTTTTAAAAAAAAAAATCAATTCAAAATTTAAAATTCATCGGGACGCTACTTGACTATCGACATCATTTAACCAATTACGACAAATAACTAAATTCTACAAGTGCATAAGCCAACACTCTAACTTAATCCCTTGGTTGTGGATAGGAAAATTCATATGGAATTTACTAAATATAAACTGACATATTCATAAGTCTCAACATCATTCAAAAAGCTTAACATAAATTCATGGTTTAAAGAAGCATAAATAATTCTGGAATGAAAGCAATTAGTTTATCATAAATAAAATAGGCAGAAGCAAAAGACACATCCAATCAATGACCACCATCTCGCTCGTCTTTAGGCCACCGCCTTCAGTTCATCTCAACCTAAAGAAGGAAGAGAAGACGACAACAAAAAACAAACAAACGGGGTGAGCATAACCAACAAGATCACCATTATCGCACAGTTATCCAGTATAAAGCATTTTAAAACATTTTCACTGTATGCATAGAATCCAAGGTCTAAACTCCCAACTCAGCCCTATCGCAAACCTCCTATGTACATACAACAACCTTCCGGCCCTCGGATGCAACAGTTCGTATGATCCTTTCTAGGAGACAGTGGAGATGTTTTTCCCCTTCCAGGTACAACGGCTTGGGGCGTCTCCTATCGGATACAACGGGCAAGTGAACTCCCACTGTTTTTGCATTCATCAAAGGCACTATTGTACGGGACACCTAGACTAGGGTTCTCACGCATACAACAATTTTCAAATGAAGCATTATACGAATAAAGAGTGCAATAATTATGGAATACATCACAAATGTACCCACCTGTTTGTAGCGACAAAACACAATCACGATTCTCGAAGGCAAGGTGTGGTCAACACCTCTAGACACCTACATAAGTCCAGATACTAAAGTCAACGCTTTAATCAGACCTAAGCAGAAAATCACAAATTTTACTTAGCCGAACTTGATTCCACTAAGTGGCTCGTGAAGTCCTGTGGATATTGGAACTTTAGGACTTAGACTCGAACAACCAAAAACGGGAGTTCACGTAAATATCACATAAATGATAATTCAAACAAGTCACAACCACAACAAGAAATCCGGTTTATAGATTTTTACACAAGAACTACATTTTTGAAAAATAGAAAACGATATACCACATAATTAGGTTGATCAAGTTTCTGAATGAGTTAGGTTCTGAAACATTAATATAAAATCCTCCCCATTGGACTTAGTAAAACCACAAAGTTTCAGCCCTAAAATCATTATACACAATTTTATAAAATTCAAAAAAGATTTCAGCCAAAAACGAGTATAAGTTCATAGCCTGACCGAATGAACGAATTAATACTTGAAATTTTTACAGGAGCAACTACAGCAGGCAAGGAATATCACATAACAATTTCAACTTTAAACAATAAACACACAAATTTTAAAAATTACTACAATTTTCTGCAGTTTCTGAATTTAATTAAAATCGAATCAATTCGAACTCCAAAAATTCCAATCTTTTTAAAGCAAGAAACTCCACATAAAACAAGCACTTCAGCCCAAAATAAGAATTTTTGAGCAACTGACCAATTTAACATAATTAAAACAACTTTCAGCAGAATACTTAAATAAATTATTTACCCTACCAATCTTAGTCCAAAAAGTCTGAAAATCTTACACAACATCTAAAATAGACAGAGACAACATACTAAAATTTCATAAATTGTGGAGCACAACTCAAATTATCATGCAATTAATACGATTCTGCCCAGAAATCACTTTAATTATTTAAAATAGCTACAGGCCGTGAAAAATTATGAAATTTTTACACAAGTCTTGTAATCATCAGAAGACACAACCCTCAAAATTTCAAGGCAATCCGAGTAGTACATAATTTTTTAGAAATTCAAACACTAAAACAGCGAGCATACAAGTTCGATAAGTTCACATTTGACTTATAACACAACATTCTCGTCCGAAGCCTTCTCTTAAGGCCAAGGACTCGACATGGTTCTGTAATCCACACCCTTACATGCATTTTGAGGTCTCATTTTATTTATCAAAATCGAGGAGGTCCACAAAACATAAACAACACAACAAATCCGATTTTTCACATAACATTATAACGTGTACATTTAATCGCAAAGTGAGCGCAACACAAACATTAAACACATAATGCAACAATATACATGATTTAACGATACGGGGTTCGACTAGGTACCGTTCTCGGGAAAAACTCAAAAAAACGGAACGTAGAACACGAACGGGGATGTCGGGCTCGACGGATTCTCGCGTCTCGCCGGGAAAGGAGGGCAGGAAGGCGAGAAAATAAATGGCTTGGGGCTGTGTACTCGCGATCTCAGGACCTTAGGACAGCGCCGGGAACGATGCAAGTTGGACGATAGTCGATCGCGGGGAACAACGACGAGGGACCGGGCAGGAGTGCGATGATGCACACGAGCAGAAAGGGGTTCGAACAACAGCAATACACGAACAAGGTGCTGCGAGCGGGGCTGATCGACGTCGATGGTGGCCTCGCAGACGATGATGATGGTGGGGCGGTGATGGGAACTTGGTCACGGCGGCCTGGTCTCACGCGAATAGAGGCGATGATGGTGATGGCGATGGTGTTGCTGATTGATGGAGGTGATGATACAGGATGATGATGATGGTGATCAGGGGAGAATATGAGCGATGAGATGCTCTGAATTATCTTCTGCTGATGGTCGGCGTGAGGAATAAGCGAGAGAGAGAGGGAGGTTATTTGGCTGCGAGACTGCTTTAGTTTGCTGAGGGTTTACGAGATGATGGAGGAAAATCTCTTAGCATATAAATAGAGCTAGGGTTTGACTATTTAGCTTAGTCAACAAGCTATCCAAGAGAGAGGAAACCGAGTGGGTTCGGTAATTTGGGCGCGGGTCTACGGACCTCAACGGGGCGCGGGCGCGACTATGGCTCGGCCGGTTTTTCGTCGGTTCATCGCACAAAAAATAATAACCGGGCAAATATATATTTATAATACACATTTATAATATTTATATAATACATATTAAGCACATAAAATCATTTAGGCAATTTAGACAATCAAATATAAATAAACACATAACAATAATAATAATAATAATAATAATAATAATAATAATAATAATAATAATAATAATAATAATAATAATAATAATAATAATAATA